TCCATACGTAGTACGAGGGATCACGAGGGTGTGATGGTCTCAGCCTTGGTCCCTCGTGACACATCTGTGCTCTTGGTGACCTTTCCTAGATCCGTCACTGCCCTTCCGAGGCTCAGCCTTCTCTTGGCTTCTTGGCTGCCGGCTCCATTTGAACTGACCACTCAGCCAAGGCAAGCAAATGTTTTAACAATTCCGATGTCTTCATTGTGTTAAAGTTGTGTATTTCTTCTGTAGCCATGACTTTTGTCTCCTTGATGTTCAGTGTTCAGATGCAGCCTGCTTTGGCACTTTCTTCTTTCGCTTTCATCAGAAGTCATTTCACATCATTGCTACTTTCTGCCAGTAAGATGGTGTCATCTGCACATCTTAAGTTACTGAGAAACTAAGCACTGCTCAATGAAAGAAAACAATAGTTCTGAAAAGGCGAGCATGAAAAATGTTCTAATTCTTCCCAGAAGTTGCCCAACCTATCCTAGCAGCATCCTGCTCTGAGGCAGCAAAGATAATTTAGGATGCAGTCATACTTCCTGCAGTCAGTATCTGCCGTCTTCATATAGACCACAGGAGGGTCGGGGAGTGGATGGGAGTTCCCTTGGGTTTGTCTGATTGAGGCTGCTGGAGGGGGCGCAGCCGGGAAGCTCCAAGGGGGCGGTCATGCTTCCCTGGCTGGCGGGGGATGTTTGATACTATTTGGAAAGGACCTGTGACTTGTCTTACCTTATTCTCCCCTGGCTTTCCGGCTGTGTACCAGTCGTAGGATTCCTCCAGACCCAGATGATGTGGTAGGAGAGGGCATTCCTCAACCAGTGTGGCAGTTTCTATTGTTGCAAGATTCTGTGCAAGGGCTCTTGTGGGGACCCAAAGCGAAATACGGCTCCGTGACTGTCCCTCTAACCCCATTTATCGTCACAGGTGAGTCACTTACTGGTACAATCTAGGTCTGAATCAGACACACTCACAGGCCTTGAGTGACATTCTCCATTTATGCTGAAATATTCCAATGTGTTACACCAGGGGAAACGCAGCCACAACACTGAGATGAGAACGCGTGTGGTGTGTAGAGTGGATGCGGGCTGGTTAGAATCAGGTGCCTCCGCCCCCAACTACACGGGCTTTCCTCATGTGTGATGTGGGGGGGGGGGACAGAATCACTCACTTGCTAATAGATGTGAGGAGTGAGCGAGGGTTTTGCCCATTACCTGCAATACACAGGGTTATTAGTCTGGAAGACAATGTCCCTTGTTGAAAAAGTGGACATGAAATCAGTCCAATATGGCTGAGTCCTAGAGCGACTGTACAGTGTCTGAGTCTGTTTCTGCCACCAAGAAATGGAAGTAATAAAACTGACTTGATGGGTTGTTGCAACGATTACATTAAACAAGAGTGGCCGGCTCTTAGTCGGTCCGCGAGAAACAGCCAGTGGCTACGCACTTCCACGTCTCCACCATTTCTTCTGCGTGGCTCTGTGGATCGGTGTAAATGGATAGAAACTGTTATTCCTCACCCTTAACTCAGGGGACGTGGGATTTGATGCTCTCTCAGGTAACTCACACCTCTAATCTTTGCAAAGTCACCAGCGATCTTGAGGTCTCTGGTGAAGAAAAAAAATCATAAAATAACTGAAAAATTACCTCTAGCTGCCAGGTTTGTGGACATTACCAAAAGAGGTAAATTAGGGAGGACTTTGGAAAAATCATATTTCCTCTTGATTCCTGGTTAGTGGACACCCTTCCTTTGATTTATTTGACATTGTTTAATATTTTCCAGTTATTTTCCCCTGCCTTCTCCGAAATGTAATAACTACTGAAAAACAAGTGAATTCTGTTTGTGCTGTCACTGGTGAACAGTTTAGTCTATTAGTTTAGAACTGCAATAGAGCTTCTTTAAATATCAAAATAAAAGATGAAAATTCACCCTTGAAAAGAAATTGGATTTGTGCTTCAAAATGTGACTGAGCTCCTCAAAGCAATGAGACGATAATTTACTTCCCCAAAGTTAACTGGGGAAGGAAAGAAAAAAAAAACACCCACAAACACGTTTTTCTGACAGGCAAACAGGCAAATCACAGACCAAACTGCAGGGCAGGGGGATGGAAAGGGAAAAACATCTTGCAAAAGCCGACCTCCCACACTCCCCCCACCAGCCTCTGTGAAGGATGGCTTTGGCCCCTTCCTAACTAATTCTGTCACTGTAAAATCCTACAGCCATTCGTCCACACATAAAGGACAAATAATCTCACCAGGAGGACCGAGATGCTTTCAGTTTGAACTCCTCACCAATGGTGGAAAGGGAGAATGCCTGAGCTCGGGCTCAGCGGCCAATAGGGTGGCTGTGTGCCTCCCACATGACTGGCTGGCCTGCCTTTCACATGGGCTGCAATTTAGTTCAATTCAGAACTGCAGAGAGTACAGCTTTCCAGGCGCAGGGGAGCGCCGGAGCACCCGGGGCTGAGTCCCAGTGACTTTTACGGAGCACTTTCCTACCTAACCTTGTGCACACAGACGGGGATTCTGCACCTGCCTCGGGGACAGTCTGGCAGCAGCCCTTGCTGTGCCTCAGGGGACAAGGAAGTCACCCATAGCCACTAGGAAATTGTAAGTATACATTTCTTTCCGTCCAGTGTACTGACTGAAACAGTTGGATGTCAGAAGCATCAGATGTTTGAAGATTTCTAGGGCACTCTTTTATGTGTGTTACGGGAGGGTGGTCACCCTGCAGAGAGAAGGTCTCAGGGACAATTGTTGCATGCTTAATGATGTGAATGGCACAGAATTAAAAATAAAAGTCAGGCAGGGCAGAGGGGCTGCAGGAGGCTGAGTCCGGAACCCCGCTCAAGGATGCTGCTTTGTTCGTAAGAAAACATGAAGGCGCCCACATATGTACTTACTTCACTTCTGGGCGCGCTGCACGTCTGATCAGATTCGACCTGTCCCCAAGGAAAATAAAAGACAGACCTTGCTGACTCCACTGACAAGAGCATTCGTGGACTTCCCAGACACCTGACAGTTATTCTAATGAGCTGTGAAAGGCTGCCGAGACACTTGGGGGCAAATAGCTGTTAAATTCGGAACAATGGCTTCAGGCCCGGGCTTCCTTTTTTTATTTATTTTTAACCAGCACTTCTCATTTTATAATCACACAGGAGGCTGAGCTGCTTTCAGGGTTTTAGCCCACAAAAATGTGGAATACAGTCCCGGCAGAAGTGCAGGGCAGGACAGAGCGTGGCCGGTGTGAAGGCAGACAGAGAAGATAGCTTTCTGTCTCAGGAGCCAGCCTTCCATGTAGAAAGATTTTTTTTTTTTTTAAATTCCTATTTGGGTGGAGTGAGGATGTGGGGGTGGGGACTGAGCCGCGGAAGCTTCTTTATAGAAGAATGCTTCAAGAATAAGATAATTTGGGATTTCTCCTTTCTAGCAGGCATAAAACTAAGGTTTGCGTCCAAGTTACATTCATGGTAAGATTTTTTTTTTTTTGGATGGAGTTTCAAACAGAAGCAACCTACAAAGCAGTTTTTGTTTTTTTTTCAATTTATAAAATATTTGGAAGCAAATGGGGGAGAATGCGCCCCGTATCGTTGCTTTCTTTTCACATCCAGCTAGCGTAATCGGGTAAGACATTATGCCTTTACTTCTAGAATCATCCAAAGCCTTCAAAAGTTATAAGCTAAGTCTCGTAAGAAATTAAAAGGCAAATCCAATCGGTGTGATTTTGATGGATGAAGATTCTGAACAACAAAGCTCCAACAAAACAAGAGAGTTTGGAAGAAGACGTCTCCCTCCTCATTTTGAAAAGAGAATATTAACTCCATCAATTATTGAAAGGAATTAGTCAAAGCCTCCAGACATAACTAATTATGGCTGCAAGAGATCTGCCGGGGCAGAGCCTGTGTTCTGGTTAGGAAAGTCCAAGACGTTAGGATTCCTTTTTTCTTTTTCTTTTTTTTTTCCAGAGAAGACCCGGACACACATTTTCACATCATCTTTTTGAAATACACCATTTTTTTTCCTTTGTCTGCTCTCCTGTTATCTACACCTCCCCCATCACCGCCCCCTGTGCCGAGACACCTGAAGGCTAGACATAATGACCAGCAGAGCCCCAGCCTGTCTGGGCCCCAGCCAGGTCCCCCCCACACACACAATCAAGGAGTCTGCACGCAATGCCTGCCCAGCTCCTCCAGCTCGGTGCGGATCCGGGATGGAAGTCCTGCACACACTGCAGAAAGATTAAAGACAACAATATCCCCTTTCTCTTGCCCCAGACAGCCTCAATTTTTAACCCTTTCCTGGCCTGCAAAACCAAGACTCCTTATCCGTTCCAAGGCAGGTCTCAGGGGACCCTGTCCCATGTCACACAGATTCACATGCCTCATTTGGTACAGAAATCTCATCTCCACAGACCCATCAGGGCTATTTTAGGATTAACAGTGTGCCCACGAAAGGAAACCTAAGCTGCTGTGAGGGGAGTGTGTTTCTGAATGAACTTGAGCTGTCTGAAATCTGAACAAAGTCAGAGGTCTATGGAAGGATTCTTGCAATCCTTGCACAGGCTATTTATGCCATTTCTCATGCTGGTCTCTAAGCATCTCTCTCTCTCTCTCTCTCTCTCTCTCTCTCTCTCTCTCTCTCTCTCTC